CACCAAACTGGGAAATCCCGCAAAAAGCTGAACAGACTGCTAGCAACGACCAAGACAAAACTCGTGGCCAAGACAGAAACTAACAATAAAGGGAAGTACAGGAGAGATGAGTAGGAAGCTAAACTTCATTGCTAGAAAGGCAACCCAGGCACCTATAACAGCTTCCTTTGAAATGCTTCTAGTTTCACACTCATGATGAGCCGGGATGTGGTAAGCTGCAGGGATCCAGCCGTACTGACTTAAACCTAATATTTAAAAAAAAAAAGGAGACTTTAAAGGCACAGAGACCTGTGGCTCAAGGGAACAACTTCTACACAAAGTTGTAGAAGTTGCACCTAAAAGACTGCACCTAAATCAGAGCCAGTCTAACACTGGCACAGGAAAGAAATATTGTTTAGTGGTAGGAGAGAAATGACAGGAACTTCTAGGCAGAAGTCCCAAAAGAGAATTCCTGATATCAAAAGAGTATTAGATTATGTAGGGTCAATATGAAGCCACAGTAGACAAAAAAAAACAAACAACCTAGGCATCCCTACACCTTACAAACTGGCTGAGGGAGAAAAATCTGTCCAAGGAAGAGAACATTCATGGGATACAGGGGAACAGGGGAAGAGCAGGGCAGCAAAGAGCCCAGATCAGAATAGAAAGGGTGAGTTAGCACTAAACCCACGTGAGTCTGTACCTTCCAGTAGGGCCAGCCACAGGGTGCAGTGTAACACAAGCATCAGTACTTGTGTGGATACAAATCCCAAATCACGTAATTTACAGGATGAATTTATACTTCTGGTTGCTTTCAGCTCAGGAAAGGAGTGGATGCACACAGCTGCCTTGGTGTATTTGATCTGGGCCATCTAATTAAAAACTACCAGGGAGGAGCTCCAGCTGGTAAGGGAAATACCACAGCAGAGAAGCAATTGGTTGGTGTCTTTGAGGTTGCTCTGCCAAATGGCTGCAGCACGGAACAGCAGACTATAATTGAGCTGCTAAAATATTTTCTTAATATAATTAACAGGTCAAGAGATTTCAGCGAAGAGACTACTCTTACGCTGTTGTTTGGCTTTCAGTACAACACAGGTGGTAGAACCTCATCCTGTAAATCCTTTGTGGAGCCAAGCCACAGCTAGCACAGGAACAAATTTAGAGGAGAAGATAAATGAAATAGCTAATTAAGAGTCACCCACATCTGGACTGCTGTAGAAAAGACACTGAGAAACTGGACAGAATCCAGCATAAAGCCACTAAGGCAGGGAAGAGCATGGAGCACAGTAGAAACAGAGGAAGCTGGGTTTGTTCAGCTTGTAGAAAAGATGCTTAAGGAGGGATTTAACAGCTGAGACTACCGAAAAGAGAAGATGAGCCAGATTCTTCTTTGTGGGACACAGCAAAAGAACAAGAGGCAACAGGCATAGTTTGCAGGAAGGGAAATTCTGGTTCGTTATCAGGGCAAGTTACACACGCACTCCCCTGCAAGGGTGGTTCAGCGATTGCCATGGGTGCCCAGCCAGGCTGGGGCATCTCCGCTCTTGGGGTTGTTCAGGACTCAGCTGGACAAGGCTCTGAGTAACCTGATCTAGCTCTGGGGTTACCTCTGCTGTGAGCAGGGGGCTGGACTAGGGGATCCAGATTGCAAAATGGTTGTCAAAGGAAGAGTAGAGGAAGAAGTTATGTATAGAGTTTCTTTTCCCCCTGTTCTCCCTAAGCCTCTATTTGCAGCTACTTGTAGAGTCAACTGACAAATCCGTAACAAATTTAGCACCCTTTGGCAAGGAGTTCCACCACTCAGCTACGGAAACACCCCCTCCTTTGGCTTGCTTATAACCTGCTCCCTGCCTCATTTTTATTAACATCTCGTTGTTGTAAAGAAAGAAAAAAATCAGTGACCAATTCCTGCTTCCTATTCACCCCCTCCAAGCTGCTCACAATACAGACCTGTAACATCCATATCCTTCCTCAGACGTTTGCCAGGCTGAAGATTCCAACCCTATTAAGGTGCTCTTTGTACAGAACTATTCTAAACGTCTGATCATCTTCGCTGTCCCTCTCCAAGATGTTTTCAACTCTGGTGTATGGTTTTGGAGATAAGAGCGGAGGGTGGCATAGAACTGCAGTGTTCGAGGTGCTGGTGAGTCATGGACATGTACAGAGACAGTGAGGATTTCTGCTCTTTGTTCACCACAACTGAGCATTAAGCTAACAATTGCAAGGAGTTATATACTATTAGTTCACAGTTCATTGTTTTATATGTAAATTTTGAATTCTTTTTCTGCATGAACACTGTTTTACATATGTCTATATGGAATTTCATATGCTGTTCTATTGCCCACTCGTTCACTGTTCTAAAGTCCTTCTGCAGTTATTCACAGTCAACTCCTGCCCTATTATCCTGAAAAACTTTCTACCATCAGCCAATTTTCTCACCTCACCAAGCTCTATTTCCAGGTCATTTGGGAATATAGTGAACAGCATGTATTTCAGGTTAGGCCCCTGTGATCTGACCACTGATGACTTCCCTTTGCTGTAAAAACTGGATGTTTATTCCCACCTTCCATTTCCGATTTTCTACTAATTCTTTACCCAAGAAAAACTTCATCTTCTTTCTTATTCCATGACTTTAGCTTTATTTAAAGACTTTGATGAGAAAATCTTGTCAAATCATTTTTTGGAAATTGAAGGAAAGTATATCAGCCAGAAATGCCTTATCCACGAGCTTCCAGAGTCCCTCAAAAAACTCCAGTTTCACAAGACAGGACTTGCCTTTACAAAAGCAGATGCCAACTCCTTCTTTAATATCACACTCATTGCTTTCTCCGTTGTACTGTCTACCCTCTTGCCCAGATACCAACTTTATTGTTCTGTGCTTCCCTTGCATTTGGGGGATCTCATTTGGAGCCCTTTTTGAGAATCAGCATTGCACTTGTTACTTCTAATTCTCAGCATTGAGATGATGTTAGATGGGAGGTTTTGCCATTCTGCACAGAACTGCATCGTAGTTCAATTGTTATTGCAGAGCGAAGGCTATCTGGGCTTGGGGAACGGGCAGACGGACCACCTTCCTGGGACTTGCCCAAGCCAGGGGACTCCAGAACAGTGCCAGACCACCATGGTTGCCCAGATCCTTACCAGAGAGTAATACTGGTGTGAATCCCATTTCCTTACACCGTGCCACTGCAGTCTCTAGAGCAGAGCACCCGTTTGGACTGACCATGAAGATTTTATGTCCTGTTGTTCTATAAAGGGGTAGAAAGACTATAGCAAATCGAGAAATAACCAGGATTTAAAAGGTCAGCCAGCTGACCTCTCTTTGTACAAAAACATTCAGAGGTGCTGCAGCTGCGGGGCTGGCAGAGTTAACTGTAGCGGACTGGGCTTTGCAAATCCTGCTTGCTCTTTATCAAAGTGAAGACGAGGAACAGTAACAGCAACAACAATCTAAAACACCGTAACTCTACCAGTCTTTTGGCTATCCTGTAGCTCCTATTAGAAGGTGGCTTTTTTTCACCTCTGTGTCAGATTCCTACTGCCAGTATTTTTATTTTTCTCACCAACAACTCGTTTTCTTCCCCTAACTAGCATTCGCAGCACTCACCCACAGGATGGCATCAGGATCTTGACTCTCAGATCCCCACTGATAGGGAGCTGACAGCAGCTGGTGGAAGAAGTACCACAGCCCTTAACCAGGGGATCCTACTAAAGAAAATAAAGCAATATTGGAATTACCAAGACAGTATCTGGAGACAGGCTTGGTAGAAAGATCAAAGACCTTGACAGAGGAGGGATGGACTTGCACCCTCCCAACAGGACTGGATGCTCATGGCAGTGAGTGCCACAGCTCTGGAGGAGCAGCTGGAGCTGCTTGGGGGCTGCAGCACCTCCTGTGACTCACCTGTGTCCGATCCTCACACAGGCACCGTCCCGAACTCCGCCTGTTCCTAAGTGGACTAAGAGGAAGGTAGGTCCAGGTCAGGCAAACCGCAGGCCTCAAGAAGGCGGCTTAATTTTCACCATTTGCAAAGCACTTCCTGGGCTGTAGTTAATGAGTAATTAGAGGGGTGGGGGAAGGCCAAGGCCTAGCTGGGAGAGGTAAATGGAGACGGAAGGGACCGACTGCTCTTCCTGCCTCCTATCCACTAAGCTCACGCCCTTGCTGGCTACATTCCCGCCTGGTTTGTAACCGAAAGGCAAAACCGGACGCAGTTCTCTCACACCTGGCTCACAGCTCCCTGCTCTCCCAGGCCTGGCTTCTTCACCCCCAGCCCTGCCACCTTGGCCCCCATAGCCCTCCCCAAAGACCTCAACACTTCCAAGGGCGACAGGCATGCAAGGCAGGAGGCTACAAGTAGACCTATCTGACATCCCTTCGTTTGAATCAAGTCGGAAACACAAAACATCACAGTGGTGCAAGGCTGCTCTGCTAGGTTTGTCTCGCTTCAGTCCCAAAAGACACGAGATACAATTTTATGTTGTTCTAATCCAGGCTGCAGCCAAACGGGGCAAGTCCAGCCCTCCCACGCCGTGCCGCTCCCTCCTGTGTCTCTCTGCTGCCTTTGTCATTAGGGCTAATGTGCTTGATTGCACAATCAGCCAGAAAACAATGCAGCCACGGGCACTGGTGGTAGAAGTGAGTTAGCTGCACCCACCCAGCTAGGGACAGGAGCCTCGGCAGCATGTATAGCACTAGACTGTGTTTAGGGACACATTACCTAGTATGTTTCACATAGCACATTTGTAAATGCTTCCTCTTACACAGGGCTTAGCACTTCTGAAATGTTAAACAACAAAAAAAGTCACTTTAATATCAAGTCCTAGGGCTTCATGCTAAGGCTTGTATAAACAATTGCCTTCTTTTTGCAGAACTTGGTACCTACTGGGCCCCTCAAAACACTAGCACAGGTTTCACCGGGCATAAGGTGGGCACTGTGGTAACTGCCTCTGCACCAGCAAGAAGCATCTGTGCCTGAGGAGCACTGCTGAGCTCACATTCATTCATAAAACAAGGGCATTTTCAAGACTTTTTTTATTCACAAGCAGACACACAAGCAGGCACAAAGCATGCCATTTATCTCAGGTCAGTATCTCCCTTGTTCAAGTGCTCCATTCGCGGGGCTGACGGGACCTGCACCTTGGATGGAGGCCACCAGCCAGAGCACTGTGACCTGGTGGGACAGGAGAGGTCCACGGTCTCAGGAGGTTGTCACTCCACTAGTCCCAGTCCCATGCGGTGGCAGCGTCATGGGCGGCAGGAACATGGCCTTGAGCTTGCCCGACATGCTGGCGATCTCCGGGTCCTGCGACTCGTAGGACTTGATCAGCCGGGCAAACTTTAGAACCCCTGCAAGAAAAAGGGGCGGGAAGGAGGCACCCCCCCGCTGCCGCTCCCTCGGCGGGCCCGGAGCTCCCCGGCGGGGGACAACCCACCTTCGCCATCATTGCTGAAGCCGTAGGCTTTGATCACGTCCTGCTGGATCTGGGTGGCCACGGGCAGGAGGAACTGCAGCATCTTGCCCATGTCGTTGCAGGCGTTGTCCCGAGCCTCCTCCATGCGCTGCGCGTTCTCGGGGGCCCCGAAGGCCTTAATCACCTCCGCCAGCACCGCTGCAGGAGACGGGCACAC